ATGAATCGATACCCGGTAACTTTCTTCGAGTCGGGATTTAGGAACTGTACTGGAATCAAGGATGGCGTTGTTTCTCTGGGTAACAATGGGTTCGTCCTTGCGCATGTAACCCAGGAACATGGCTATGTTTGCCTTTTAAGGAGTGGTATACATTTTCTGATGAAACCACGGCCGCATCGTCCCTTCAGCTGTAGCTTAGGTACGTCCTTCAGTCCTGGTCACTGATGCCCTTTGCAGGTTCTCAAGTCAGCTTTGCTTTGCTTCGCTGTTCACGCAAATGCTCACTGGTGACGCACGAAGACAGGCCTTTTGATGGCTAGCAAGATAAGCTGAGATAGCTAACATTCGCTCGGGACTAACCGCATCATCTTTACCAACATTGCAGCTCTACGCTACGACCAGAAGAGGAAGTGTACGAAGATGAGGTCAGTGCACACATACAATGTGAGACCGCTTTTTGCTTTTGAGCCACGTGCAGCGCTGGGTGGAAAGCTTGACTCTCCAAAAGAAAGGATGTTTCTATGCAATCAGCGGTAAGTCAATAGTCCGCAGTCTGTTCTTGTCGCAGTGTCCAATCGCACATTTCGTCCTGCAACGCGCGGCAGGTCCCTGTAACCATAACGGCCGGTAACACAAAGTGTCCGCTTTGTAGCCAGTATTGTAATTGGTGGTTGTACTGTTGGGTCGTACTGGCGAACCGGGCTTCAGTACCATGGTTGCACTGATGCGTACAATTTCCTAGGCGAGAAGGTCATCACACCGGTACTTATATCGTCGCTCCATCCGCAGCCTTGCGAGCTGGTGTTGTGGCGCTTCGTCCTCTTTCACTCGTTCATCCTACTCCAGCGCAATCGCGCGTTCCTCTCGCTCACCGCGACTGCCCTGGTGGTCAGCTTCCCTCACCTCCCTCGTCCCTGCCTACAACACTCGGGACCCCGCTTACGTTCCACTCTATTGCTTGACGCATCCTCTCACTAGCTTGCCTGAGTACCTAATACTCACCTTCTCATTTCCAAGGTGGATACCGCCTTTTCCTTGCCTTAGCGACCCTCAACCACAGGGTATAATTCCAACTGCCGCATTAAAATCTTTCCCTTTCCCTACTCACCCCCACGGAATAAAGAGGCAAATACGCCTTCAACTTCGCCCAAGATGATAATCGGCTATGACGGGCCCTGCTACCACATATCAGAGGTATGCCTAAAAGAGTGGGCATACTGGGGCTATCAACCTTCCTTGGCCACCAACATCGCCTTCGCTGCGCTGTTCGGCATCTCGACTATCGCCTACCTGGTGCAGGGCATTATCGGAAAGAGATGGCTTGGCTTCACTGTCGCAATGGGAACGGGTTGCGCGATTGAAGTCGTCGGTTATATTGGGCGCATTCTAGCACATGCAGATCAGTTCGCTGAGGTACGTCCGTGAATTGTATTCGTCGATTCCAGGACTGACACGACAAAGAACCCTTTCCTCATCCAGATCATTTGCCTGACCATCGCACCTGCCTTCCTCGCTGCGGGCATCTACCTCTGCCTCTCGCGCATCGTCACCACGGTCGGCCCACAACACTCACGGATCAAGCCCCTCTCATACCCCAAGATCTTCATCCCCTGCGACTTCATCTCACTCGTGCTTCAGGCCGCTGGCGGAGGTATGGCTAGCGTCGCGACACACAACGGCGAGGACCCGGAGAAGGGCAACCACATCATGGTCGCTGGTCTAGCCTTCCAAGTCGCAACTATGCTCCTCTTCATTCTGCTGGCCCTTGACTTTGCATGGCGTACATACCAAGGACGAACGTCTCTGGGCCAGATATCTCCAGATCAACAGCCAGCTATCATCCGCCGTTCATGGCCATTCAAAGCTTTCCTTGTGGCTTTGTCGCTGTCTACCCTCTGCATCTTCACAAGGTGCGTGTTTCGCGTCGCAGAATTGAGTGAGGGCTGGGAGGGCCATATTGCCAACACCCAAAAGTACTTCATCGGATTGGAGGGTGGTGTCATCATTGCGGCAGTTCTGCTCTTGAACTTGTGCCATCCGGCTCACTGCTTCAAGGATGTAGATGATGTACGAGGAGTGCAGTTGCAACGGCTCCCTGACGGAAGCACTACGGAGTTTCCAGGACTCAACCAGCTCAGCGGTATGCAGCAAGCACAGAAGTGGATGTGAGGTCGCTACGGAGATGCCGTTTGACTTCTTCAGATGGCGTTATGAGCAAGGCCTAGTGCCAAGTGGGCTCTGATTCCCTTCTTGTATGATATATTTAACCCCATGAATCTATAATTGATTCCACTTTTGGATCAACATGATCAAGTTCGAACAATTTATATTATTGCCATAAGAAGGGAAGCAGTGCCACACGATACTCGTTCATACACTCACACGAGCAAGGACTTCGGCGTTCTGAGTTGGCCTTTAGCTTCGCATAGGTCTTCAGAGGTCTATTTGTATATGCGGTGAGGAGATGGCAGGTATGCCCGATAGCTTCTTCATACGTTTTGCCCTAGGTTTCGTCAAAGCGTGTTGCTATATGCGTGACTATAGAGATCACCTCCTAGTAGTCCAAGGTCTCAGGAGAAAGTACAACTACTCCTGACTGCTCTGGTTTCAATTTACTTTTTATACAAATGCTGTCGCGCACTTGGATTGGTAGTACAGTGTGTGGGTCTTTGATTGTTGCGCGCAGTATGCATGTATTCTTGAAGTATTGAGGCAATCGAAAGTAGCGAATGGCTGGCAGTCTACTTATTCCACGCCAAATCGTATTCAGAACGGGAACTGCGGTGTTGAGGACTTCAGCGACTGTTTCGCGGCTCGTTTGACGTACCAACAGCCGCCCGCTGACCTTCGAATAGCCCACTGCCTCTCACTCTTGCGACCATCGGAGGGCCTGATCCACCTTGTGACACTGCGCTCGGGCTCTTCTACCTGTCCACCTTTACCTTGGGGAATACCACGCGAGCGGTCAGCCGCTAGCAGAAGGCTCCCAGTACTTCCCTATATAATCTCTTCACCTGTCTGCTCCAACACTCCTCCACACTCTCCACTCTATAACCATTTGGGTCATCTGTTAGCTGACAGTAGTGCTTGCCTTGCATACATAATCTCCTTGCTTGTCGCCTCCAGCCTTCGGCACTCTTTCTCTTGCTGTGTGCGTTGTCACCACAAAGCCTTCGGTAGCCGACAACGACCCATCAATCATCATGAACCAAGCAGAAGATGTCGAAGTCGTCCTCGGCCATGAGCGTCGCTACAAGTTCCACTCTGGTACTTTGGCGCGTAACTCCACCCTCCTCGCCGACTTGTTGACCGAATGCAACGCCGTCAAATTGAACACCCGCGCCAGGAACGCAGGTATCAAGACGCGCTGGATGATCGAACTCAAGGACCTGCCTTCTGATCAACATCCTGCCGGTCGTCTTGACCTTGTTGTATGAAATCCGAACCCCTGTACTATCCTCAAGTTACCGATAACAGTCACTAACAACCATGTCTCCAGGAACTCACACCAACTGCCGAGCGAGCCGACGGTCGCAGCGGCCTGATCGTCAACGAAAACGGACGTATTCCCCAAGCCGTTAGGACCTTCCAGCACTACGAAAGCATCTTCTATGCCTTCTACAATAAGGAGCTCAAGATTGCCGACACCGACATGTCCGCCGCCCTTCATGATTGCTACCAGCTTCTCAAGATCGCCGACTACCTAGGCTGCACCATACTTATCTCCAAGCCCATCGAGATCGCCCTTCTGAAACATGGCCAGGATCTCTTCCGCGCCATCCAGAAGAAGCCGCACGCCTGGATCGAGATGTCGTACCGAATCCGCAGCGAACTTATCTTCCGCGAATGTATCGTCCACTTAGTCGGTAACTGGAGGGTTCTGAAGGCTTCCCGCAGTACCCTCGACTATCTACGCGAAGTCCCCGGTCTACGCGGCTTGCTCGAGAAGTACCATCGCGCGATGCTCGGCCAGTGCAAGGCCGTCGAATTAGCTGTCATGTCCCTCTACCCCGGTACCATGCGCCTCCCCGTCGAAGACCTCCCCATCAAGCGTGAAGCCTACGCCAAAGACATCCTCGTCTGGATAGCACTGACTTTCTTCCGCCACTGGATCGGCCAGCGTCTCATCATGGACAAAGGCCGCCACGCTTCCGACTGCGGTTTCGAACTCTACAAAGCGATCGGCACAGCAGGAGATTCCTACATGGACAAATCCGTCATCAACCAGTTCCACACCAAATTCCCTATGACAAAGAAAGCCATGAACGTCCTGGAGAACCACCTGCTCGAAATCAAGGAGTGTATGAAGACTGTCGTCGATCAGCACAAGATCCTCAAGTCAACCTGCCAGCTGGATATCCATCGCTTCCCCGTTGAGTATCTGACTTGTACCGAGTTCGATAAGGGCGATTACCCGTGGGACAAAGACAGCGAGGGTCCTAGGGTACTTCCGGCGAAGAGGGCGTACAAGCCCGGTGGCAATGACATCGCTCGCAAGAATTTGGATACCGCGAGGATGCACCAGGAGAGGAGTATGAGTATGGAGGGGGGTGAGGAGGAAGATTCGGTCGAGTTTGAGAGTGATGACGATGAGGAGGCTACCAGGGGTAAGCGGGCTAAGATTGATTAGGTTTTGGATTGAGGTATTTGCCAGGCGGTATTTTTGGGTTGGTTTTGAGCTTCACAGGATGCCGTGAGGACCTCCTGGGCGTTGTGTGGCTTTTCAAAAGTGAGGGTTAGGTTGGTATGTCGGCGTCAAACGGGTCTATGGCTGGACGAAAATACGGTATTGGGTGGCTTGTAGTCGGCAAAAGGGTCTATGAGGGCATGGAAATTTCTTGATAATGGCTCGACTACCTCCACGGTTAGACACAAAATGATGATTCTTGACTGTATTCTTATGTTGTATTGAAGTGAAAGGGAATATTTTGACTTGATATCTCCTTGAATCCGAGTGAAAGCTTCATTCCCGTCATCTCCTCCATCTCCCCTGATATCCTCTACTCGTCATCGAAGCCCGTCGGTCTCGGCCGTTGTCCCTTTGGTACTAGAACAAGTCAGTAAACCGCCTTCTTTTCCCACGTTTCGCTCTTCTCGGCACAACGATTGTCCAGAAACCAATTCCCGCCATCCGCCACGTACCTGGGTATGTCATAGGGATCTTGGGGATCTGCTCCTCGCCCATATATCTCCGAATCGGGGGAACGGTAACGACCATTATGGGACCAGCGCATCCGACCATGATGGAGTAGAAGTATGCGGGCTTGTTGATAGAGGCCCACTTCATGTACCGCAGCGGCTGCTGGAAGAAGCGCGGGGAGGGGGGAATGCCGGACATGGTCGCTGTATTGCTGCTGGTATGTGAGCGCGTGTTTCGGAGTCGCGAGGCAAGTATGCGCGTACGTAGACTATCCCTGGGCGTGCGTCGGTAGGTCCGGTAATCAGCAGGCTCAATGCCTCAGTCTGGTGTCGCAATCGCAAGTTGTCGGCGCGAGTCTTGGGTTCGTGAGGTCGCTGCCCGTAGCTCACTCACCTCCGCACTCCAATCGGCGTGCAGCGATTTTCCGGGACCGATGGGCTTGGCAAAAGCATACGTATCTCCGTTACAGCTCTCCACACGCCGGCGCAACTCGACAAGCCCTATCTTCGATCAACCACAAGATGAGGTGGTTACTTTCTTTTACCGTCGCCTTCGTTTGGTCGGTGGTGGTGCAGGCCAAGAGTTTCACTGGCAACCGCTTGCTGGTTGTGTTGGAGGAGCAGGCCGAGAGGGAGAAGTACAGTGTGTTCTTGGAGGACTTGACGTGTAAGTCATGAATTAGTTTAATTGTGTCTAGAGATGTCGTGGTGTCTTCGATTTGCGCAAGGTGCGATGCAAATACGAGGCATTGGCAAAGCTCCGTAGCCATCGAACTTGCAACTTGGGCTTGCGCAGCAGATGACGCTCAATCAAGTTCACTGATAGTGAGCCAATGCTGACAGGACTGTATAGCCCGGGGATATACCACATCTGTCGAATCACCAAAAGAGAGCAAGCTCTCATTACTGAAGCACGGCGAACGAGCATACGACCATGTCCTCCTCCTCCCCGGCAAGTCGAAAGGCCTCGGCCCTGCCCTCACAGCGAACAACCTCCTCGAATTCATGAAGAAGGATGGAAACATTCTAATTGCCCTTTCGAGCGAATACGCTATCCCCACAGCCGTCCAGGCCATGCTTCTCGAAGTCGACATCAACATCCCAGCGGACAAGGGCGCATTGGTCGTTGATCACTTCAACTACGATGCATCATCGGCGAAGGAAGAGCACGACGTATTGCTCCTTCCGTTCCCCAAGTCGCTCAGGCCAGATGTCAAGAACTACTTCGCTGGCGAGGGATACATTGCCGTGCCACGCGCTGTCGGCCAGGCTCTTGGAAACGAATCGCCTCTCACCTCGCCCATCCTCCGCGCCCCTAGCACTGCCTACAGCTACAACCCCAAGGACGAGGCTGACGGCGTTGAGGACCCCTTCGCGGTTGGCGAGCAGCTGAACGTCGTCTCTGCGATGCAGGCGAACAACGCGGCGCGTCTGGCAGTTGTCGGCTCAGCCGAGATGCTCCAGAACAAGTGGTTCGCTGAGAAGGCTAAGCTAGGCGACAAGGCCATCACGACTGGCAACCGCGAGTTTGCGCAGAAGCTCTCTGAGTGGACCTTCAAGGAGACGGGTGTGCTGAAGATTGGCAAGCTCCTCCATTACCAGGACGAGGGTGCCAGCAAGAAGTTGAACACCAGCACTGCCATTCCTGAGAACAACCCTGGCATCTACCGTATCAAGACCGACGTCGTAAGTTTATGTTAAACCGCGATTAGGACCAAGGTACTGACAGACACAGCACTTCCAAGTCGAGATCTCCGAATACACGAACGATCACCTCGCTCCCTTCGTCCCCTCGCCCAAGGATAACATCCAGCTTGAGTTCAGCATGCTCTCGCCTTTCCAACGCCTGAACCTCTCTCCGATCGCACAGACCGCGAACGCAACCATCTTCGGCGTCGCGTTCAGAACACCCGATCAACACGGCATTTTCAACTTCCGCGTCAACTACCGCCGTCCATTTGTAACCAACATCGACGAGAAGAGGCAGGTCACCGTCAGACACTTTGCGCACGACGAGTACCCAAGGAGTTTTGAGATTAGCGGTGCGTGGGTCTGGATTGGCGGTATTTGGGTCACCGTTCTGGGCTGGTTGGCATTTGTGGCCGTTTGGCTGTACAGTGCCCCCAGCGAGAAAAGCACAAAGAAGACGCAGTAGATTGGCTACAGGGTTTTGGATGAGAATTTGGGCCGGCTATGTGTGTGTAAACAAAATACTCCGTCGGCGATGCGCGGTATGTATATTATGGATAAAGGGCAAGAATGACCCAAAATTTCGTTGCGAATGGAATACCAAAGAATACCACTATCTGTTTCACATCGACCGTTTTTGTTCCCTACGATATCTTCGAACACTTCACTCGTCTTTTCACGCCGCCGTTTCCTCAAAGCTTACTCTGTTCCTCCAAGACCCGCGGATGCGCTACCTTCCCAGGCTTCAACTTACTCCAATCTTTCTCATACCCCTCCTCTACATCCGGATACGGTCCCAACGGCGTGATACTAAGAGGGTTGATATCACCATGACTCTTCGTATACTAGAATCGCGCAATCAACGTCAGCCACCACAGCACCATGCACGATGATTTGCAGTTCCACTCACATTCTCCTTGATATGCCTAAAATCCGTACTCTCCTTGAACCCCTCGACATTGTGATAGAGGTTCTTCAGCCAATTGTTCAAAACAGGGTAGTCATGGCGTATCGAACCCAGATTCGTCTTGAAATGCTGCGAGTAAACCGTGTCGAAACGGACGATTGTGGGGTATGCCAGGAGATCGAGTTCAGTGAGCTTGTCGCCCAGGATGTACGGTCCGCCGTTCTTGTGCACGAGTTCTTCCAGTCGATTCAGCGCAGCAAAGAGCGGAACAACACCCTTCTCGTAACCTTCCTGAGTCGGTGCGAACCCCGCTTTGTACACGCCCGCACAAATCAGCGACTGCAACCACGGACTGATCTCATCAATCTTCGCGCGTTGCTCCTCCGGATAGAAATCCGATCCAATCCCCTTCCCCTCACTCTTCAACACCGAATCAAAAGCCCGCGGTAACCACTTCAACATCTCCGCACTCTCATTATTCACTATGCGACCGCTCTTCTTGTCCCAGAGAAGGGGCACGCTGTATTTCCCCTTGTAAGCTGGGTCGTCGCGGAAGTAGATCTGGTGCATGAACTGGCTGTCGAAGAGGTGGTCGGGCGTTGCGTTGGGGTAGCTGGCATCGAAGCGCCAGCCTGGTTCGCCCTTTGGGTAGGGCCGGACGATGGAGACGGGGAGGTAGGGTTGGAGGCGGTTGAGGTGTCGGACTAGGTTTGGGCGGTGGGCGAAGGGGCAGAAGAGACCTGGAGAATATGTTGGTGTGAGTGTTGCTTTGGTATGGTGTAGTGGTTCTGTGAGGGCTTACCGATGTAGAGGTGGTATCTGTCTTTCTCGGGTGGGAAGTCACCTCCTTCTTGGATGATGCCGTGCCAGCCATCGTCGGTGCTGTACTTGTGGATTTCTTTGGTGGACATTTCGTGTTTATGGGATATATGGATGAGATGGAAGATAGGAGAGTTCAAGTGAAAGTGGTTCTATTAGAAGAATCTGTAGCTATCTGTTCATGTATCGTTCGTTATGCTGGCTGTTGTGTACAGTGAAGCTGAAGCTCAGCTAGGATGCTCATAGTGGGGTATCTGAACGCGTCCTCGTAAGCTTATGCAGGGACTGCGGAACTGATTCCGAAACCGAGCCAATTTCGGAACTCAGGTGCAGCACTTCAACTCTTCGCAAGTTACACCACAAGGCACACCACACGTCTCAGTACTCGTTCGTGCAGTTTGCGTCGCGCTTGTGATGCCTTCGGCTGTTTCCCTGCCCCCAGCTTCAACCTCATGGATCCTGTCCGAAGCGGATGCCAGCTCAGGTTGGAGTGTTGCCGAGTGAATGCCGTACGCATGCAGACATTCAGAGAAAATCTTGGCTTTGCTCATGAAGCTCGCGATGTCAGGGTCACTGACTACGACATGTGCAGATGCGACAGCTTTCTTTTGATCCAGACGCCAGACGTGCAGTTCGTGCACACTAAGCACACCAGGTATAGCCTCCAAATCGTGCTTTACATCCTCGATCTTGACACCCAGGGGAGCAGACTGGAGCAGTATCTTGCCGCTACGCTTCGTGAGGGGAATCGCGGTAAGAAGAATCATGATGGCGATCCACATACTGACTGCTGGATCGGCGTAGAAGCGGTTGGGCGACTTGACGAACCATATGATGACTGCGGAGATGATGACACCGATGTTGTTGATCGCGTCGCCGATAACGTGGATGAGAACTCCGAGAATACCCAGATCCATTCCGTGCTTCTTTGGCTTCGCGGATATGTGCAGGTGATTGGCATGCATGGGCGCAAGTGACATGCTCTCCTCGTCGCCGCTGCTACCAGGGCCGTGGTCGTGATCATGCTCATGTAGGAACAAGGCACTGATAATGTTGAGAGCTAGGCCGACACAACCCACAATCAGGACTAGTTTGGGATTGTCGACGCGTTCAATGGAGATGAAGCGCTCGATAGATTGTAGTGTGATGCTGACACCTAGGGCGAGAAGGAAAGAGCCGTTGAAGAAGGCGCCGAGGAGTGAGGCCCGCGCCCAACCGAAGGAGAGATCTGGAGGTGAGGTTTTGCGCTCTGTCACCTGGACAGCTACCAGGGCCACGATAAATCCGATAAGGTCGTTGAGCTAGGCACGTTGTTAGTGATTTTACGCAAGAAAAGTGCAATGTTGGCAGTAGGATGACGCGGGACGTACATAGTGGAAGGCATCAGCTACCAGTGCAAGTGATGATGTATAGAAGCCTACGGAGATTTCGGCCGCGAAGAAGCAGAAAGATATGGCTATCACGGCCCTAAGTCGGGTCTTTCGGCTGACTTGGAAGCGGCCATGCTTGTGCCCATGCGCATGATGGCCTGGCTCGTGGTGGTCGTGACTGTGGGCCATGGTGTTGAGAAAACAATGATATTAGGTGTTAAGAAACGGTTGAAGAAGAGCTCATGGTACTGAGGGAGAACAGAAAGTAGCAAACGAGGATGCAGACCGAGTACCTGCCTGGCTTTATGGACGTTTGTACCATGTTCAGGAAAAAGGTGTGAAACACAGGGACTCAGTGACGGTGCGAAATTCGAATCAAGATATGACAACGGTTAGATACCTAGATGAACCTCTAAGACACACTACCTGTACTATCAGAACCCTCCAAGTTCATGTAGTACTTGTACGTACGGGTTAGTCACAGACTACTAGAATGCGACTGCCTGCAGATTGCGATAGCCATGTAGTCACTGACGGTAAGGACGGGAGCCATCGCGTAGGTGTAGTTCTCGATCTGTCATCGCGATATGTTATCATGTAGTTCTGCCAAACGGTATGTCATTGCCTAGCTCCCGAGGTCGCGTCCAGGGATAAAACGTGGAGCGTATGGAAAGCTGCCGCACGTCACCATGTGTAGCTCAGCGATATGTTACCGAACGATGGACATGTTAAGGGTAGATGCTCTAGCATACGTGATTCGATACAATTTTAGAGCGGCAGTAGATTGCGGTAGCGTGAAAGACAGATTCACATGATAGCGCGGAGGACCTAACCCAATGCCGCCTAACGCCGGAAGTGCCAACACCGCCTTTCGACCAAACGGCCTGGACCCTCCCCGCCGTCGCAAATAATCTCGCAGAACCACCAGCCTTCACACAAACAAATCCTCGGACTTTGATCGCTCTCGACATATATCTCCACTCACACTCAGCGACTGACTATCAGCAAATTACAAGATGGGTAACGGAGCCAAGTAAGCCACTTTACATATATCCAGCAGCCCTGGAACGCTCGCTAACATTTTTCGAAGAGCGCAGCAGAAACGCGACAGGAAGGGTTAGCATCCCACCATAGGAGCCGCCTGTGAGACAGTAACTAACTTCGTACTCCAAACCTACAGGCGATGCCGGTCCCAAGGAAGCAAAGAGCCAACTGAAAGCCGTACGTAACCCCGCTCCCTCGCGCGATCCTGCAACGTCGCGGTCCCGCATTCATATCACAGTTACAAGTAGCAATGCTAACACGACGCCAGAACGCCGCCGCCCAGACCATCAAGTGCAAAACCTGCTTCCAAACGTTCCAGGGCACCACGAGCCGCAAGATGCTTACCGATCACGCAACCAACAAGCACAGCAAGGAGTTCGACGTCTGCTTCAACGCCGACGAGGGTGTTGTGAAATAAGCGGTCACATTTCCGAGCGAGTGCACGACGACAACGGACGATACGACAAAGTTTGCTATTTACACGAGCATGAGATACCACGGGCGAGGAGTGAGGAGTTGAAAGGGGACGGCCATGTATGGCGATTTGACGAGGCATGATACACAGGCGTAGGGATCGATATATCACGAATCCGACTATTGGCTACCATGCGCCTTCTTTTCTCATACTACTACCAAGGGGCTGTCTCCTCTGTGATCGACTGACCGTGGTGATTTAGTGTTGAGGAACTCAAGGTCGATGACATTCCAGAGGCACAGATATAAGTTGTTGGACCAGCGTAAGCGGGAGACGGCGCGTGTAACAAGCACCCGGCCGGTATACTGAGCATATATAGCAGACACGTGCTGTTGGCCGATTCGACAAGGACATGGGAAATGCATGGACGCGTTGCCACTCACTCCTTTGGAACCACCTGTTGATGCGTTCCAAAAGTCAGATTTTCCCTAATTCTAACAAGCCACTTTGAAGATGGCACCTAAGTATAGCCTACGGTGCAACGCCATTCTGGTATTGCAACACTTCACTTCAACATCGCTATCCCCGTGTTTATGTATGGTAAGCGCGCATGTTTCGCGTTACTTGATTAGGTGATCCGCACAGTAGAGTCGAACTTGCAGTACTGGTGTGCAGCGCGCATACCTATACACGAAAACCCCGACCCGGAAACAGACAGGCCGAGGTGCAACGTACAACGTTAATGAATACAGTGTTCCCACATTGCCAATCACCACTCTGGTGTACCATCTCCAGTTCCCGTCTCAGGCCTGGCCAAGTCTAGCCCGCGGTGCAAACCCCACTTCCACCCCACCAACGTACTTCATCACGATGCAGGGTTTCGATTTCGCCACAACAGATTACTATTAGATCTTTCCCCATTCTTGGCCTTCAGCTTCGTCGTCTGCGCTGTGGGACTTGGGATATAATTATCGTGCTTTTCATTTTACACATCAATTCCCTATCACAACCGTCTCCTTAGCTCAATTGGGAGAGCGCCAGACTGAAGTCTCAGTCACTAAATCTGGAGGTATCGTGTTCGATCCACGAAGGGGACAACGTGCTCGAGCTTGCTCGGGATTCTTCGAACCATTCTTTTTGCGGGTGTGACCGACATGGCGGACGAGTTTGGCTTGTATCCGTTTTGCTGGTGTCGGCGTTTTGTATCAGAACACGAGGAGTACTGCGATGTGTACTATCACTTTTGCGCGTAGTACGAGGTGCACCTGGCAGACGTTATGGACTCGTAGACTGTAAAGTTTGACCAAGTGCACTGGTAGGCTGGCCATGAAGTGCTTTTATTTTGAGCACCTGTATGTCATAAGGGTGATACTAATCATTACACCAAGTTACATATACCTCCTCTCTTCTTGGACAGCTTTTTTGTGCACTTCGCGTGCGAAACTCCCAGCCCTCTTTGTAGAAACCGAAAACATAGTATTGTTCCCCGGGAAACACGCTCCGTCACAATCCTCATATCGCCAACCTGTTGTTGTCCGTCCATCCCACCCACACCCCACCAATCTCCCTCGCGATATCCTCCGCAGTCCTCCCATTCGCATCCCTCAGACTCCTGATATCGATCTTGTCCTCTGTAAGCCCCCTCATAATACCCATAGCCTCCGCCTCCTGGAAGACCTGCGTAGGGAAGTCTAGCAGCGGGTAGTTACTCGCCAGCAGCAGTAACAACCACGCGACCTCTCTGCTCTGCGCATGCACTGCGGCATGTAGTCCCGACTGCATATCCCCAATCGGATCCTGGTATCTCAACATCCTATCAATGCCCACCTCCTTCTCCGGATGATCCGTTGTGCTCATTTCGACATCGCCCTCGTCGTCCTCGCTGTCATCGTCGTCATTCAACAGTAGCTCGACTACAGCCTTGTAATCGCCTTCGCGACAGAACTCGAGGAAGGCGCGCGCTTTCCTATCTTCCGGGTACGCTTTCAGGTATGATTCTTCGGTGAGGAGGGGCAGGATATCGAGGTTCTCTTGGATTCCGCCTTCGTTGTTGAGTCGGCAGAGGACCTTTTGTTGACCGTCGCCTGTGCTGGAGATTTCTTTGCCGCAGTGGGGACACGAGGTTATTTCGTAGGCGGAGAGGAGACAGTCCCTGCACGTGGCGTGTTAGCGATAGTATGCGATTGCGCAGAAAAGGTGTTGCGTACCAGTGGAAGTGGCATCCGCAGGTTAGCTGGACGTCATCGGGATATGTTTCTGGTGCCGCCGCGGGTCCTTTGCCGGATGACGATGCGCCGCCCTCGTACTCTTCGTCCTCGTCGCGCTCGACTTCTACCTCCAGCGGCTTGTCGCAGATGACACAGGTAGACATTTTGGTGCTTTGCTATGTGCTTCAAAGATGTGACGGTGTTGGTGTTATGGGCGGGGCTATAGCGGGGGTTGTACTTTTTTTGTCGCTAAAACGGGAGGGCGTTCACGCGTCACGCGTCAGAGTTTACGCGGACGTCATCGACCTCTCGTGGCGGCGTCAATGACTTGGGGAGTTCTTGCTGCTCATGAATCCATTATGTCCTTGTATTAATTGGCTATTAATGTCTCTATTATCGCAATCGTTGATAGCTCGGGTTCGTCCACATCAGGGGGACGCGTGCGAGCGCGATCCTTTCCCGTCCTGTTCCCCTCGGCCTGCCTTCACCCACACGACTTCTAATTGCGTCCCTCACAACCCTCAAACCATTGCTGAAGCGTGTGCCAATCTCGTGCGCTGTCGAGTTCGCTGTCGCCGGGCGGTAATCGTTTCGAGATACTCGCTGCATGGCACGGTTGGGCGGCATGTCGTCGTCCTGTCCATAATCCTGTTCTGCAAAAGCTGTCGACCTCTCTTGGTTCTTCGTCTTCAGTTGCCTGAAATAGCTATCGTAAAGCTGACCCCAATCCACTAGGATGACCCCTTCTTCCATGTTCCAGTACCGGATTGACTTGTTCGATACCCCAAGTGTCCAGTGTTGTCCGACACTCATCGTCACATTGCATCTGGATCGCGACGCGGAGAAAATTCGGGCCCATCCGTAGCAGCCTCGGCGGTCTTCATCTCGCCATACGCTTGAGATTGGTGCTTCTTGGTCGACGGAGAACACGGCGACAGTTGGATCCTCCACCAGGAATCGGTTGAATTGCAACCGGAAGGTGTGATTTCGGCAGCCGAGATTGGAATTGATTATCGTGTGAGGTAGATGGGCTACTGGGCCTCGATGCGACATGGCCGGTCTTGAAGTGCAGGTATTCGGATTCCGTGGTGGGCTCAAATCGGTGGCGCGTCGACACATATTGCAGGAATGATCGGAGAACTCGTGGTCGGTCTTATTGGAGCTGAACATCTTTAGAAGCGGAAGGCAGAGCATATTGAAAGCCAATGCGAAAGTGTGCATAGAATAGGCAGTGTTGACGGGAAATGAACAGCTTGTCAACACGTTCAAGGTGGTGCAAACAATGCCATGCAGGCTTTGCTTGTTTCCGTGGGCGATCGAGTTGTCTTCCAAATACCAATTCCGGCACCCTGTGTCTGCCACCATAGCCAGGTACGTGCCGGACTACTCCTCACCGTACCATGGTAATGTCGTTGCGTGGCCCTTTTCATCGGTCGCGCTCCGCAGACTAAGGCAGGGAGGGGGACTCACCACGCCGGCAAGTGAGGAAAAACAGCATGAGCCTTTGCTTTTTTGGAATACCAGAGCTAGCGCACGCCCGTTCTCTCGAAGGAGCACAAGCTCCGTCTCACCGTCATCTCGCCAGCGAATGCTTGCTGCGGAGGAGAAAAAGCACTGCGATTATCTATGGAACAACAATGTACATATGCATGGCGTGCGAGCGAATTGTAAGAATTGGTTGCTCGTGAACTCCACAAAACAACGTATAACACCAAGACCTTACACACCACTTCAGTCATCCTTCAACCTGCTTGGCAGAATTGGCTGCCTTGTTGACCGCCATGGGCAACTTCAGAATGCCATGCTTGGGCCAACGTAGTAGGCGCCCTTGCCATATCAAATCTCCGGCGCCTACGACATCCTCAACAATCCAATCCCAACTGCCGTTTACTTTTGACATATCGTAGAAGCATCGAAGCTTCCACGGGCTGTGCGATTGTGGCCCGTGAATCAGTGTAATTACCGCCGAGCATTCGCAATGTGGCGTTTTTGGTGACGGAACGAGACGGACTTGACTTCCTGAACGCCAGGGAGTTGCGCATCGAATGCAAGTTGGTTTGCGATGCCTAGAAGACGACGCTGTTAGCACGTTGTTCCTTCAAAGCTGTCAGACTGCGTTTACCATTCCATTCCTCATCCGCCCTCCGATCCTCTTCAGCCATCTCTTCAATGCTCTGAATACTCCTCATCTGGGGCTGCTGCCTCTTCTCCAACTCCATCCTCGCAGTCATCTGTTCCATTATGGCTTGCTCGGCATCTAGTTGTTGTATGCTATCCTTGTTCCGCAGTAGAAGACGGTGTGACGCTGACTTCCAGATCGCCCTCGAGTCTCCGATGCGTTGCTGAAGAGGCTTTTCCCAATCTTGTTCCCAGCCCCGCGCTGGCTCCTTACCTGTTGCAGGTAAAGCGGTTTGAGAATGGAACGCTGGTGCGTGGAGAATTCGGGCATTGGCAGTCGGTTTGGGTTGGATGGGTACGGCGGTTGATCTTCCTAATCCAGAAGGACAGTATGGCTTCTGGACTTGATGCTTTCGGACGTTAAGGGGTCGGATCGTTACGTCGACCGCAGAATCGTATCTGTTCGAGGGAGGTGGCGGCAGCTCTCTCCTGAGTGTTCGTTGCAGCTCAAACGATTCTTGCCATGAGAGAACGGATCGTGGGCCTTCTAATAGGCCTGGCACATTTGCGTTTTGTTTCTGGGGCTCGCCAACAGCTCGCTTGGTCACCCTTCCAGCAAACATTGGTGTTTGCGAACCCAGTCGCCCTCCAACAAGTGAGTTCACACTCGGGTTTACA